AGCCTTAAGCAGCTGCAGCTATTCCACTGGATTTCCTACCAGCTTCAAGTACAAGTCCATGCTTTGAGTCCCTGGTCTTTCTATAGGCAATTATAACTTACAGGATTTCTCCCAGAGCCCCCAAAACTTTCACTCTTAGATCCAGAACACTAAGTCAGAAAGCAAGGCCTTAACACAGGCAGCATAACAGATCTCCTTGTGGGATGCCAAAACAAGATGGCTCAGGAATGCTACCCTAACTGCGATTAGCCAAGTCTTGGAAACAATTTTGATCCAAAATAATCCCATTTATAAGAGCTCTAAGGTTCTCCCTGGCGAACAGCAGTAAGTTTTAAGTTTCTTATAGTATATCATGAAAAAACAACCTCTGTGTCTTTACAAAAAGCTTGTCTGCTTTCTCAAGTAACCTGCAGTAAGTGTCCTGTAATGTCATGGCATGGACTTCCTCTGCCTGGGAAAGGATTGCTGTAGGAAAAACCCCTTCAGGCTCAATCACCTCCCAAAAGGAAGTAAAAGGAGCAGTGAATGGCAATCTTAGCAGCTTCTATACGTATCACAGTCCTGCAAGAGAAAGATGGTCCATGTTTAAGATGGGTGCCATCGCTGAGGCTGGCTGGAACCAAAGGCAAGCTTTGTGCACAAAGATCACACATGGAACTCAGTTAGGAGAACTGTATTCACAGTTTCTTTCAGGGCACAAAGAGTGCCTGAACCACTGATGGCTTAGCTGCTTCTCTTCTGTAGTGGAATCCAACCCCCATATTCAGGGGTTTATGCAATATTAAAAGAGGCAGGTATGGAAAAATAACCTGGCAACCCACTTCTGCCAAGCAGGAAGCTCTGCGGAGCACTGCAATAGGAAATGCTAAGCACAGCATTGTGCCCAAGCTTCCCACTTTTACCTAGAGCTTAAGAGCCAGAAGCAAGGTTGCAGGGAATCATGTCAATCTGCTTGCAGTGCAGAACCTGTGGCTTTCCTCTCCATAGCAAAATCCACAGAATTCTGTAACAGATTTGAAGGCTCTCAGGGCTTGTGAAAGGCAAATTACAGGGGGTGAGCCCACAGTTCAGGGCATCAGAGACCAGAAATCAACTCCCTCCTAAATCCAAGAAGGTTCAAAACTTCAATCCCCCCTTCTCTGCAGGGTGCCCTCACACCAGCCCATGAATTACTGAAGACAAAGCACTTGCCACCTCTTCAGCTGGATCTGGGACAACATGAAGGAAAGAAGGGAAGGTGGATACAGTCAAGAAGCTGAACACAGAGAAGGAAGATGTGCAGAAGGGGAGGTTCTCCTTCCAGCTGTGGGTTTATTTATTCAGGGGCCCTTCAACAGCAAAAGGCATCAACAAGAGTGAAGGTGAAATCCCAAGACTTCTCTATACTGTTGCAAACAAGACTAAAAATCTCTTCTTTACAGGCTCTGAACAGATTGTAGGCAAGAAAACAGAGGTCTTTCCTCTGCTCCTTAAAACTGCGGGAACTAACAGCAGCAAAAATGCTTAATACACTTTTTTGTGATGGTCCAAAATCACCAGGAGTGGAAAGCCTGGTACTGTTTGGGGCTGTTACATTGGTGGCTATTTTACAAATTTACACTGTTTTTTTTAATCAGTTTGAATGAAAATATTTTCAGAATTAATGCAGATAATTTCATTAACAGGATAATGATGTCTATAAGGAGGCTATGCTTTTATTTCAGCAACAAGAAAAATCCTTTGTTATTCTAGTCCCTTCTAATCTTTTCCATCTCAAAGCATGGGGAAAATCCCTAATGGATTTTAAAGTCCAAGATTAAAATCACTTCTCACAAAGGCTAATTCTGCTTTACTTTCCTTGTATATTTTGAGAATGTCTTTCAAGAAGTAATTTTCACAGTCAACAGATCCATTTTCATACAACACTTGATTTTTAGTTTACAAAACGTTCTCATTTGGTATATAAAGGCTAACCTGACTATTTCAAAGTGAAAGACAGTCTGTCAGAGACATCCTTCTATCCTGTAATGTTTTTTTTTTTTTACATGAAGACATTGTTGAGCATCATCAAAAGGCACAGAGCACAAAAGAAATGCCAAGAAATTAGAATATTACGTCTGTCCTGCATGACCAGATACAACTGATAAAAGGATTAGAGGGTGCTAGAGAGAATTTAATTTCCTGAACAAAATTATGTTATTATAGTTGAAATAAATATAATAATTTCAATAAGGCAAATCAGTTCTCTTACCTTCTGCAGCAGTAAAAAGGGACAGGTTCATTTGAATGTTTTCCTGCAGCCAAATCAAAGAAACCTACATCCAACTGACTTCTTTCTCTCATGAAATAAACTTGACCCACAAACCTCTCTGTCTTTCCTACCTTTTTTTTTTTTTTTCCCTTTTAATTTGTGTTTGCTGCATGGCTGGCCACATCCACCTTTGTCAGTCTACAACAGTGATTTCCTTCCTACATTGACTGAAGAAGTCTCTTGGATTCAAAGCAATGTGACACACACTGACAAGTGCATTAGGAAATGCTTCTAGAAGGAAAAATAGAGGTCTGAGGCAGATACACCAAGTGCTCACCTTTTTTGTTCAATAAATTAGTAAACTGTATTTTACTAAGCAGAAAGACATTCAATGTAAGGATGCATGAGGATGGATAGCCAGATGGTATAGGAAACAGGAGGTTTAAACAAGGACAGTAAAATTGGGTCAAACCCTACTGAGGCAAACTCTTCTGAATGGGAACTTTGCCTAAATAGGTCTGGCTCACTCAGGTCAGCAAAAACTGAACTTACCCACAGAAAGTAAGGACTGTATCTTCTAATACAGAGCAGAGCACAAGATTTTTACTACCATTTTTACTGCACTGAACTGACAACACTGTATTTTGGTAAAAAGCAACATAATAAATTTCCAGTGAAATTATTTCCAAGTTCTTTCTGTTGCTTCAAACAACTTTACTGTGAGTTCCTGTTTGAGAGCCAGACATAAACAAGAAGCTTCCAGCACACTTCATTACAGACTCAGGACATCACTTCTCTCCCTTCTTCCCTTGCAAACTGGCCATGTGCTCTTAAAACTGAATCAAAATCTTCTATGTTGTGGAAAAGTCTCTTTTGACTAACGTTAAAGAAAATTATTTGAAAGCTATTAAAAACCATGACATTGTGTAAATCATCGAAACATCTCCCTAATACATTGCTTTCAGTCCTTGTAACCACCTCTGCAGGTTAAGTGTTATTATATTAATTCAATCCTGCATGCAAGGAAAGAGAAAACCAACAATGTTAAGTGACTTGCTGAGTCATTTGCACATCTGGGAACTGCAGTCTGGCAGTAGATAATAACCTCAAGCTGCAGAGTGTTTTGCCACCTTCCTGTGTTAGTGCAACCAGCAAAATGCTTTCCATTTGCTATGGGGCCAATCTACAACCTCGTGGCAATTAATCAATAGAAGTACTTTATAAAATCCTAAAATACATGCAAATATACAGCTGATACAAACAGCACACAAAGCCAAACCTAAACCTGAGCCTAACAGAAGAACCTTGACATTGGCCTGAAGCAGAAGAACAAGCCCTTTACAATGATATAAAAAATCAAAAAGCTTACACAGGACTAGCCAAGTGAATTACATACTAAAGCATATGATAAAGCCCTGGTAACAATTATAAAAATCTTTGCTAATGCCTTAACAATTCTCTTTTCAGTTAATAGTTTTGACTGCCATTACCTCTCTGTCATGAGTCCAGGAACTGCTGTATTATTTTTAAAACACACAACAAGCAGATGTTTCTTTAAAAACAAAACCAATCAATTATTCAAGTTCTTTATGTTACTAACTGTTACTAACCACACCAACTAGGCCCTTCCAGTAGAGCAGACTGACAAATGTTGTTGTTAACACAGCCTGTAATTTCATTGTGTCAAAAATGACTGCATGATGGAACATGCCTAATTGTAGCGTCCTCATCTACTGAGTCAGACCATGCTAGCATGTGAAATAGCAACTATCCACTTGCAAAATTCATAGAGGCCCTGTGCTAAAATACCAACAAAGTTTGTTCAGCAGATGATAGGAAATTATTTTCATGCACTTATGTAACAAAAAGAAAAAGAAAATGCTGAAAGAAAATCCAAGAAGGAAGTGAGTGGACACATAAAAATGTGACTGAGATGGCGGAGTTCAACTGACAATCCCCTGGAGATTCTGAACCCAAATCCTTCCTTCCCCATGATACAGCTCAATTTTAACACACTGCTGTCTCCCTATAGTGCTGGCCTTGATGCAGCAGCAGTCTTCTATTGAGCAAAGCACTCTCACACACACCTACACTGCAGCAGCTGCACTGGGATTTAGGCCCATGTTTAACATTAAACCAACACTTCAGTTCTTTGCTGGAGGAGGTTTCAGCAGGAGGAAAATACAGTGATCACGGGCTACTGAAACTGAACACTTGTGCAGAACAGAAATTTACTTTGTAAGACTAGAATGTGACTGCTGCACTTTGTGTACAGAACTTCCAATACATGCAGGCACTGGAGCATGAATTGCAGGTCAAGGGCCAAACAAATGATCCAGCTGTGAATCTCCTTGCTTTCATGCATTTAAGATTCCAAACCAAAAGGCAATGGTAATTTAAAAAATGCAGCCAAACACATCTCAAGAAACAAAAGATGACCTATACTTAATTGAAGATTTGGTGACCACACTGGGACAGCAGACACCTTGGCTCTTATTGCATACAACAGACAAAAAAGTGAGCAACTCTATTTCTTTTTCTTTAGCATGGATATACTTAGCATATCCCTCCTCTGTGCATGTGTCTGCCTCATCCATGCACTGCAGTTGGTTTGCAGATGGGGAGTTATTGCTGAGAATGCCTTCTCTTTTGACATGAGAAATATCTCCACTGCAGAAAGTCTCTCCATTTTCTGATTCCCCCATCCTTTAGACTCATGCCTCATCCCTCTGCTGACAGCTCTGCACTGCAATGTCCAGGGGACCCTTACCTTCCTCCAGAACTCCAGTCTGCTCAGAAGCTGGTGATGGAGGTGGGGAAGGAGGCAGATTGGCTGATTCTTCAACTGCTAGAAATCAAACAATGAAAATGAGATACAGTCATTAATTCCAGGAAGACCAACATATGATATAAGCTGCAGTCAGCCTGTTTTGCTCAGCTGAGGAATTAACTGATACCTGTCAGATTTCTAGACAGACCCTTGCAGAATACATGGACTTCTGAAATTATATTAAAAGGATTTATTCTTCTGTTGTTGATTTGTTTTCTAATGGTATGATTTATAAAATTCTGGTTATAGAGAACAATAAAAAAATCAAATATGAGATATTCTTTTAAATCAGTATTGCCTCTCAAAAAGCACTCAGTCACCCAAAGCAACAACAAAAAAGCACAGAGGTATTATAAATTCACACCAACTATCAGAAACTGGCATCCAATCTCTTTAATCCACCTCGAGTATGTGAAAAAACTCCATTCTGCACACTTTTTTTTCTTCTGCTGAGTTCAAGGTTAATTGCAGAACACATGCAAATATTGCTTGTCTAAATGCAAAAGATATCAGCACAGGGAACTTATATCAGCTGTGACATAACAGTGATTCAGCTGAGCAAGGCACAGTGGAAACTTAGATGTACTTGGATTAGGATTTATATTCATTCCCAGTCATGAGACAAGATGTTGAAAACAAATGATTTTTTTTCAATTACTTCAATTGAAGTATGATGAAATCCTAAACAAGCTTCTTAAATGAACTCAGCATAACCTCTGCATTTGATCTCATACCAACCACTCTGAGAATTTTTTTTCCACTCTTTGGGCTTAACCAGTATTTTAAAAAGAAAAAAAAATCCAAACAAGTCTGTTTTAACAGATCTCTCTTATCAACAGCACCTTTCAACAGGCAGATCTCAGTTTACTATTGAGGGCTTCTTTCCAAGCACAGACAGGCCACTTTCAAAGCCCCAACAGAATTTCCCAGGCTTCTTCCTATTGATTTCAGTGTGGTTTGGAAAAGAGTGTATGTGACTTGTCTTTAAGATGTGCTGCCCAGGGACAGAGTATTTATAAACTCATTACTATGCACCTGTAACACCAACAGTCGTTAACTGAAGACATACTTCTCACAATGTCTTTTAAATTACTTATCTGACTAGATGGAACTGAATATCCAGTTTGCTTCTCCCTGGCCTGAGTGATTTGGGAAATTGGGGTCTTCCATTTAAAACTGAGGCTCTGCAAAGGAGGGAATTACCAAGCAACACCATCTCCCTGCTGCAGTTCTAAGTTAGTTCAATGAAGCAAAAAACCGTGGGAACCAATTTTCCAACAAATATTCTAAATTACTCACTGAATTTAATTCATTCCCAGGCAAGGGCCAAGCACTGCACCAAAGCAGGCAGATTGCCTGTGGGGAAAACACCACAGGGCACTGTTTTGATTTGACCACAATGAACATGCACTCAGCAGAATCCACCCTAAGACAGGCTGGGAAGACTTCCTTACCTCAAGATGGAGTATGTCTTTTCTCTGGCCCTTGGTGTACATGTTTTGAGCTACTGCAGAAGTGTTCTGGCAAGGAGCAAGCACTTTAGGTACAAATGGCTGTATACCTACCTTATTTTATAGATAGATAGATAGATAGATAGATAGATAGATAGATAGATAGATAGATGATAGATAGATAGATACAGATACACATACATATTTCAAAGATATTTCACAAAGGAGGCAACAGGAGGATGGAGACACAGCACGGACCAGTGGCATTGTTACCCTTTCCAGTACAGACTGCTGACATTTGCTTTTACCACGTGACTCCTTCTTCCACAACCTCTCCTCACTCTGCCTGCTGCTCTCAACCTCGTGTGCCCCATCCCTTCCTGCTTCCTGTGGAGGTGCTTCCCCTCCATTTATCTGAGCAGCTACCACCCAACCAGCAAAGCCTCACTTTCTTTCTATATGTCACTCTACCTTTGCCTCTTCAGACATTAATCCTTCATTGCTGTACATGGCTGAACACAAACAGTGCCAACCAACATGATGACAAAACCCTACCACCAAACACACTCGTGGCTGAGCTACTCAGGAGTCAGAAACAAGGTGGAGAGCTGCTGTTAGAGCAAACAGGGAATGAGACAGTCACAGGGCCATGAAGAACCAAGAATAAAAGGATCCTGCCATAATCCTGTGGTTCCAGCATTTACCCAGTGGTGGCTATGGTTCACCCACAACCATAACCAATGTGAACACACAGCTGGAACTGCATTTTTTAAATATACATACAGACACTTGCAGACACAAGGATACCTGGAACATTCTTTGTCTCATTTTACCTAAAGGTAGTGATCCAGGCTGATCTTTGTGCTGGGCTTCTTTTTCCTGTTCACCTTTCAGGACCGCTACAGCTTCAGCTGTTACTACTTGTACTATCCTCGCAGACACTTCTTCTGTGGCAGTAGCAAAGTCAGAAAAAAAGAAAGAAAATCAGAATGGTGTTTTAAAATCAGAAAGATTAGCTTAAACAAGAAAAAACCCACAGGGTGACTTAATCCATTTTTAAAAGGTAATCCTTTTTCCTGAAATAGAAGGAAATAATTAAAAATGAAAGAGAAGGACCAGATATTCCAACTGTTTCAGTGCAAAATGCCAGGTATTTATAAAAATCAGGAGCTTGCTCGAAGCAAGATGCACAAAGCATCATTATTAAATGTTCTTCCTCTTAGGGACAACGTGCAGCAAGTGCAATATTTTACGACGATCATCTATTCAATGTCTAGAAAAATTTCTGTATGTAGGTATTGTTTTCTAAACAGGGGTAGAATGAGCAGCTGAGTAATGTAATTGCTTGACATTTAATATATGAAGTTAGCTGCATTCCAACATGCCCTTTGGATGCTAATTCCTCCTCAGCAGCACACAGTGTGCATTAAAGGCACTTCCCAGACAGCCACCTATGCTGATGAAGGACTTGAAGGGCCAAATAACATTCCTGCATGATTAAAATCAATACTCCATCTTCCTCATCCCTTTTAGGACTGCCACACACACAAAGCTTTATTTAGGGCTGAGTATCATGCAGAGGGATTGCAGAGGATAACATTTTTTTGGTGGAATGGGCTCCTTGCTGCTGGCCCCTGACATTCTCTATGTGTGGATCTGACTCAGGCGCTGCATGCTTGACAGAGCAGGGTGCCACAGAACCCACACTTTGCTCTTCCCCACTGCCCACAAGGTATAACACACTTGAGAAGGGCTGAGGAACTGCCTGCTCTGGTGAGAAGAAAGTAGTAGGACCACTCAAGGAGTGAATTCTTCCAATCTGAGAAACTGTCTCAGCTCGACTCCAGACCCACTCAAAGGTGCAGTGAAATGTCATCAGGCACACAGATGCATGTGGAAGTGACCAGAAACAGAGAAGTTTCCTCCCATCTGGAAGTTCAGGTACCTTTGATGTAACAAATCAAGATCTTAAGGGCTGGTCCAGTAGAATTTAGAGGGGAAAGGGTTTGTGGTTCTTATCTGTATATGAATCTGCTCTCCCTTAGTCATAATCAATATATTTCTTTCTCTCAGCCAAACTCAGTGGAAATAAATGCCTTCCCTCTCCAGCTACATCCAAGTGCTGTCTGAGAACTGTTTCCATTACAGATGGAGCCGACCCCTAGGGAAGGCCACAAGCTGCACAGTCACAACCCACCAGCTGCACAGCTGGGCACACCTGGGAACAGGGCAAAACTTCACTGCTTCTCCAGCCCTTGTGTGGAGACAGAGTTTTGTAATGCCTGATGTCAATATACACCGCTCCTGCCAGAGCCCCCATTAATCACCATCCTGAGGGCAGGAATAAAAGCTCTGCTCACCCATTACTGGCATCCTTCAGGCAAGAACTGGCTGGGAAGGGCAAGTATGTTTAAATCAATGCCCTACATGTAACTTGACAGCAACCACACTGACAAGGGACTGCCCATTAGATTAATAATGATTTATTTTCACAGTTACTCTTACAGATTTCCCTTGTACTTTTAATGTTAAGCTATTCCTCTTCATTTGTCCTTTAGAAAAGCCAATTGTTTTTCCCAAAAAACACAGATGTGAATTACCACAGCCATGTTTGTCTAAAACCAAAGTACTAACTTAAACTTCCTTTTACACAAACTATTGAATGAGATATTAAAAATCCCCACCCACTGGCAAAGAACATTCCTAATTATTGGTATTTATACCTTACAATTCACTGCACTCCTGGCTGGTCACCTGGAGGGCAGTGACTGCAACAGCTCCATTGGCTGCTGCCAACAGCAAAAGTAGATGGATGAATACACCAGAACAACTATCAAGCAATGAAAAAAAGCTGATTTGTAAAACATGAATTTGAAAAAAAACCCATTTGAAATACAAAAATATAAACCTGAGGATAAATTCAGATTAGAAATCTAAAGATGCTGCTTTCCTACTGTCAGGGGTGAGAAGTTCTGGCAGCCTTCCACATTGGAGGGAATAAAAACTGGTTTTTGAGATGAAGCTATGTATGATATAGGTGCCTGTAGGAGGAGACTATGAATAGCAGCTCTAGTTCTGTTCTGCTATTCAACAACACATCCCTAGTATAAGATGAAACTCCCCTTTGTGGTTAAGTAGATCAAATTGAACACCATCAATCAAGTCACACATGTAGCCAGTCCTACAGATAAAAGAACAGGGATATTGATTTAAAGCCCAGCAATCTTCTCAGATGCCTTTCACGGGGCTGCACATAGTTTTGGGGCTTTGCACCTCATTTTGGGCTGCTTCCACACCTGCTGGATGCTGGGGGTGCTTCTTGGCACCTCTTGGTTCCTTCCTCTCGTTCCCAGATGCTCCCAGACTCTCACAGGGTGCTGCTGCTGCAGACCAGGGGACTGGACACAAATCTGGAATCCTTACAGGCTCCCTGTGTTGTGAGGCACACGCAGCCCACAAAGCACAAGCTGGGAAAACCTGGGAGAACAAACGTGCAGTTTGGGCCATCCTCCTTCTCCAGACACACGGGGCCCTCCCCACAGCACCTTCCATGGCTTGGAGACAAACTGCTCTTCCAGAAAGCTTCCTTTCATACCTGCTATATCCCTGTTGGGATTCTGCTCTTTCAGAGCAGGTAAGAGCATCGCCTTGACAGCTCTGGTGAGCACGGAGGACACGCAGAGCTTCACTGAGTGCCACGGCTACAACAGACCCCGCACCAATTCCTGCCACCACTTCACACCTGAAGGATGTGGCATGTGGCCCTCCTGTCAAAATTTCCACCAAGCTACTAATCACAACACCATGGACAAAAGCAACATCATCAAGGCTATTCTATCAGCTCAGATGAACAAATCAAGACCCAAGGAGGAAGACTGTTAAAAGAATCAATTTTTGAGGCTTATGTTCACATGAAAATTTTAATGAAAGGCACCAATTAATTTCTGATATAGAATATGCAAATTCTAATATGTATATCAGATTTAGTACCCTGGAGCATATCCAAAGGAAATCTCCTAGGTCAACTGCTTTCCATCAGCCACTGCTACTGCAACCCTCCTCCAAGCAGGGCTGAGACAAATCATTAAAAACTGTCTCCTTTCTAATAGAATTTATACTTGTTCCCATCCAGCCTGGTTCTCTGGTACAAATGGGCTCTACAAGCCTGGAAGACAGTTCTCACCCTCTCAGCTCTCTTCCTGATTTAATTTGCTTGGGACAAAGATAATGTTCCATAGAGAGCTATGTCAGAGGGTGAAAGGTTGTCTCCTGATAAATAGAAATTTCTATTTCAGGCTACGTAAAATAAGTAAATAAAAATACAAATGGCCTCTGGGCTTGCGGGTTTTGTTCAGTTTGTTTTGTTTGGCAGTGTTCTTTAATCAAGAAAGGCTTATTTCTGAACACTCTGGTGATGGATATTTTGGGTGACACAGGAGTCATGGGCAGTTCATCAGAAGAGCAGTGCTTTTGCCATACATGACTGCTGCAAAAGGACAGACTTTTCTGTACTAATGGACACTATAAATAGAAGATCCAGTGCCTAAGTCAAATCCTCACAGGGCTGCTATTGAGACTTTTCATAGTTTTCTTATGGTTCAGTTAAAGTTCAAGGGAGCCTAATGACAAAGAACAAACAAAAAACCAAACCAAACCAAAAAATAAAAAAATAAAAAAGGGAAAAAAAGGAAAATTAGGCAGCTTGGATGCTGTGGAAGCTGGGCTATGCATTCATTAGACATGGTTTTGCTTGTAGACATTTATTTTCCCTCTCTTTAAACAGGCAGACTCTGACTCTACTTCATGCCAAAGAAACAGAACTAACATACAGGTTACAACAACTAGATTTATTTTTTGAAAATAGTAAGGAGCACGACTTTATGTTAGACTCCAGCAGAACAAAGAACAGCAACATGCTTTTTCTTTGCATTTTGTAGAGAGTAAAATGCTGCTCCTTTTTACCAAGATGTCAGCTGCTCATGATACAGGACACAGGAGCTTCACAGCTTGATTTCAGGGAATACAGTACCCTAAAGTACAGGCAATCCTTGAATGGGATGTCCATAACAGAGAGAAAACATAATAAAAACCCTCAGTGTGAGCCCTGAGAGGGAGCAGGCTGAGGTGAGAGGCCAGGGGCTGACATAGCAGGATGGTAGACCTCTCAAAGGTCACTTGAGAGCACACTCCAACAGTGCTGCCAGGCCAGCTGTGCCCAGCTGCTGCCAGGGCTGTGGCTGTTCTGGGGCAGGAACAGAGGACTCTGCCCTGCTGAGAGGACAGAGCCCTGTCTGGAGCACTACACTAATTTAAACCAAAATGAATTAAGCACTCTGTGCTCCTGGTTTTGGAAGTCAGCCCAATTCTTCTCCAAATCCCAGTATACCTAATCAGGGGATCTAAAATCTCCGTGTCCCAGAGATGACTCAGGGACACAAACCCTTTCCAGAGTATTTAAGATGCACAGAGGATGCTGAACCAGCTGCTGGTGGGGAGCCACAGCTTTCCCTCTTGGCTGTGTTTAGAAGGCCTGCTGCCTCCAAAGGCTGCTGCCCTCCTCACAGGTACACCCAAGGGCACAAGAGCTGCCCAAACCCTACCACAGCCACTCTAGCATTGGGAATTGCACCGAAGCAGGCATCACTCAGACACTCCCTCCTGACACCTGAGACCCCCTTCCCAGACAGAGACTCAGACAGGGGCTGCTAAATGAGGTTACATGACTGGCTACAGCACAATCCAGTATCTGAGATCAGAGCATGTACAAGGCCAAGATGTAATATTAAAGCTCTCCTTCATTCCTTATTGATACTGCTGCATTTGTCAATGGGCTGCAGATGTCTCCACTGGCATGTTACCCACAATACCTTTATTTCCCATGACAGCTTTCCATTCCATTAACTTTTATAATAGACAGTATGTTTACCAGCCCCAGAGACAGATATGC